AAGTGTATACTACGTATTACGTTCCGTTTAACAAATACAGTCTCCGTAGGTATACTTTTCTTAAACAGAATTTGAAATTGATAATTTGAAGTTGAAGTATTGGGTTTGTCAAGTCTCACCAGACGAACTTAGGGTTAATAATGAAATTGTTATTAATTATTCATTATTCATAGGTAGTTTTACTTGAATGTGATAACCTAATGAAAAATGATTGTTTTTAACAAATTCATGTCCCCTTAATCGAGCTTTCATTTTCCAAAAATTAGCAATTACAAAAGAACATTTATCACCTAGAAATATAAATTACCATGCTCGAACATCTTTTTTAAAAAACAAAATACCACTATACATTACAAAGTACCAAAACAATAACCTTCCACATCCACATGTACAATTTTAATTTCAATCGTCTATCTATTTACGATTACTCCATGCCACAGTAAGCGTTCGGTTCGACGTGGAAAAGTTTCCGCGGTAAACAGGTTTCGAAAACATTTCTTTCGGTTTGATCGATATTACATGAATTCCGTAAGAACTATAAAACCAAACGCCATTCGCCAGAACAAACGTTCTTACGATCAGGCAACGAAGGGGGGGTGGAGGAGATCTTTTCGAAAGAAGGGGACGAACGGGAGGGTACACGGATAGTAAAGACGCTCTGGCACCGGTTGCCACGTAACTCCAGATTCATAATTATTCCTGAACAAAACATCACGCTATTGACGTATCCCGGCATCGGGAATTTCAGCTGACAATACCGAAGCAAACATGTGTCGGTGTGTAAAGGGGGATGACGGGGGTTGGAGTAGGGAAGGGCGCCCTCCGGCTTGGCGACCGATGAGCAACGTCCCACCCCCGCCGTGACGATGCCACGATGCCAACAGAAGAAGTATTCTTGCATTGGTCGACGTCGTGGTCGCCGTCGACATCGTCGTCGTCGTCGTCGTCGTCTTCGTCGTCTTCGTCGTGGTGTCGTGGGTCGGCCAGTGGCGGCGACGGTGTCGGCGACGTCGGCGACGCTCCACGGTTTGGCGTCGAGGTTAGCGCCGGCCGGTCGCTGGAATCGGCGCCCGGCTGTCTCTTTCTCCCTTTCCGTCTCTCACTCCACGTTTCGTTTCGTCTGCACGAGAGAGCCGGCCGTCGTTTCGTCGTCGTCCGTCCGACGGCGACGACGTGGCTCTGCTGGC